ACAAATTCTCCTTTTGCTTCTGGGATTCTCCCTAAAATCATCTCTCTCCAGAAGTCAAGTCTTGCTGCCATTCTACTCTACCTCGTTGGTGGGAAATGTAACATTTTTTTAAAAAAAAGTAGGAGGTGTAAATATATTGATATTCACACCTAATTGCAAAGTAATGGTAACTCCTGAATGCCACAGATTTATAGTAACTTGCATAATCCATTGATGCTTTTGCCCGCTTTGATAACTTCATCTCAAACATAAGGCATCAACCATCTTCTGCTGTTAAAATATTTGTGTTCAATTTGGTCTGTTGGTATAGATTATAGAGAATGAATGCACTTGGTATTTTACAGCAGTTGAGTATCCTCTAATTTTGGCAAAATATTGATGGATTTACAGAAATCCAAACATACACATTCTACTGGAATAGCTTTCAAATGTTCTCATAGGGCACCAATTTACTATCCATGGGGAATACACTAATACCTTAATACCCAAGCCTCATCACAGAAATTATAAGAAGGAAAAAGAAACTTCTGATAGGCCTTTTATGCTCTTCACAACTAAACTAGCCACTCCCTTGTCTGCCTGTGACCACTGAAGTTAGAATAATGTGCTAAAACAGCTGGATCAAAAAACCAACAGAAACAAGCAGAATTCTTTTAAGAAACGTTTTTCCATTACTCTTCCCACTTTGGATTTTCATTTTTCTCCCTCTTTTCCAACAGGCACCTAGCAACCAAGATTGGAAAAAATGCAGCCTGAAATTTTGGGAATTGCTGCCAGTTAGAACGGAGATGGGGAGGTAAATAATGGACCATTGGTGTGACCTGCTCTAAGAAACTTCCTATGTTTTAAATGTTTTCCACATTACCCAGGGCAAACTCAGATCCACTAATGAGTTATTTAATCCTGGCTTCTGCACTCATTTCCTGTATTCACACTTTACAGCACACATCTCAAAATGTAACAATTCACTCTTATTAGCCCCATTCAGGTATTGTTACTCCAGGAATGCTCATCAGTTGAATTAAGGCTCACCCCACCACCAATGCCACTCAAATGGCATTTGGTTCAGTGGACATTAGACATTCAGTGTGAGTGTCTTCAAGGCAAAAGCCTATACAGTATGTACATGCAAGCTTTTTATCTGCAGACAGTATGCTGAATGCATGATGTCTGCAGGTTGCCTTCATTAGGACAATGACATTGGCAATGAGGGGAGATTATTGCAAGCATTCACGTATTACATATTCATTTACATACAGTTCAAGTATAATGCCTGAACTGAGCAAATTTGAGTTGCATGTATTTAAAAATGTCAAGTGTGAATTCAACCGTGCCACATCTACTCTGGGAATCTCTCTCATGGAATTAGTAGGGATGCGTAACATGTTTTGTACTGAACCATTTCAAATTTGAAACTATCCCAAATACAAAATTGACTGTTCTGAATATTTAGGCGTTCAAAAAAGAGCATTCCCCACTTGAAACAGGGTTATTTTGAGTTCAAAACACTTGCCAAACGTTTGAAACAGCCCATTTCACAATCAAAACAGCTGTTCCATACGCAAAACAGCACATTTTGAATTCATTCAAAAAGTTTTGCATATTCCTATTATCTAAAGAAATTCTTTCTTTTTCCAGAATCCTTTGTCTCTGCTCAGTGGAGAGGAAATGAATGAAGTGACTGGGGAGTGACTGGGGTTAATGGCTCCATACTGGATCTCTCCTCTCTCTTTAGCCAACAGACGATGTGAAGAACAGACAAAGCTTCCTTGTCTCACTCCCACATGGATCACTTGCTGCCCCCCCCCCCGCCCCATATACCTTGCTGATGATTGGTGCTGTTTGCTCTTCCTTGAGGAGGTGGTGCTGGTTGGTTGTTGCCTCATGACATGAGCTACACCCACATTTAAAGGCTGGGCTGCTGGAAGGGTGACATGACTTGTTAAAAGTGCAGGTTGTTGTATGATGGGATTGTAATGGCTACCATGAGCATGTGTATTTCTGTAAGGAGAGAAAGGAAATTTGCATATTTTAAAAATATTTTTTCAGAAATCAGTGGGAATCACCATGTATCTGACAAGCATTTTAGAAATAATTTTTGATCTTCTCATTCCCATGAACGCCTTCTGTATTTGAGACAATACTTCAGTGCAGCTGCAATAACCTTTCCCAATGCCACATCTGGACACAGCATGCTTGCAAGGGAATTCTTGGAGCCCCTTCCTAATGTTCTCCCAATCCTGGTACTGCAGCAGGATACCTGCTATATTGATTTTATCTTTGTTGCTCTCTCATCACCCCTCCATCATAACATCACTGAGCTCCTTCCATCATGATACTGTTATCAAGATACTCCACTCTGGTGCCATATCATTCCAAGTAGAGGTAGTTAGCATGCCTAGGCAAAGTGCTACATGGTATTTAAGAACTCTTGTATCTTTAATTTAAATGTCTTTGTAGGCTCAACCCATAAAGGCAACTGATTTTCATTATAAAATATCACAACAAACCGTTCTGTGTAAGGCTAAAAATGTTCAGTGCTGCTTACTGATCCATTTGGTATCAATTGCTTCTGAGTGAATGAAGGATGACATGTCCGGAGGAAAAAGGTTCGTGTGAAAGCAACCTTAAGTTTAGTTCATTAGAACAGAAAGGAGGAAAGAAACCACCCTGGATCAAGGGTGGCTTTTTCATACACAGTGATAGGCCTGAGGGTAAGGCAACCCAAGAGTGACTCTGTCACTCAAACAATTAATCTACCAAATTCATGATACTCATGGAGAAATCTGAACAACACAGCATCCAATAGTTATAGGACAAATCATGAACCATGATGATTAGGGGATAACCATAACTATCAACTCTGATCAATGCTTGGTTCTTGCAAACAGCATCTCCTGGGACAAAGTTTCCTTTCTGTTTACCTCCAATCCGCCAGTGGTTGAGTCCCTGCCATGGTCTCTGGGATTACAGTAGCATGCTGGACTGAGGTGTGAGTAGCTACCCCGGTCAGTTGCTGCCAAGCTGGAGGAAGCAAGATTTGCTGAGTGCCGCTAGGCCAGGCTTGCTGTGGATGGAACAGAACATAGTTCTCAGTATTATAATTCATTGCATTCTGTACTAACATACCTTATTGCCAATCAGTTTTTAAAGGAACGCTTTACAATATCAAGAATAGGGGAGGATAATCTAGGGATAAGGTCACATGCAGACTTTGTGCTGTGACAGGGATACTATACCTGGGCTGCAAAAATCAACCATCCATTAGGTGGCAGCTTTCATAGAAGGATAAAGGTGACTCCCACCTTTTAAAGAAGCTGCATTTCCAAAAGGTGCAACTAGACCTACCTCTCACATTTTGGAGTAGCAAGCTGATAATACTTGCCTTGCTGGGGTGAAAATGCACCCATGAAGGCTGGTCTTTGCCACCTGCTCTAGGCTTTCAGGCAAGACATTGCCTTGAATGGTCATATCACATTTCCTGTTGCAGTCAACAGCTATGAAGATGATACACTAACTGTGGCCCATCAGCCTACAGCTAAAGTGATTATTGCAAAACATGAGGCATCTACAGTGTCTCGCCTTTCACCTCTCTACCACTACAGATCATGTGCATCTTTGCCAGCTGTACAACAAGCAATTAAAACATTCAACATATAGAGCTTCCTATCTCACAGCATTCTTTTGAAGGGCAAAGGAGCAAGCAAGCTGCACCTGAAACCTCCTTTTTTGCCCTCTTACTTCCTAACTGCACACTGAAAGAAGGGAGAAGCTTAGCCTTGAGCAAGAACATTGCATAGATGTGCAATTTTTCTCAGCAGAAGGCCACACTTGGCCTTCGAATGGTGTGGTGCAGGAAACGCAGTGGGGCCAAGAGAAAAATTACATTTGATTTCATTTACATTTATATATAATTCATTTCCAATCATGTCTTTAATTATATTCCTCTTCTGTCATACTTAAAAAGAGAATTTGGCAGATATCTGGGGAAGTTTCTTGGAGCTAGATGCAGTCCTGAGGCCACAGGTTGTGATTATGGCAGGCTTCAAGCAGGGCTATGATTGGATTTGTAAGGAATCAAAGAGGGTCTTTTGCTTTTACAAGTACCCCTGTTTAGTTCCTTATGAATCTAACAGACAGAAGGGGATAATATTATGGCTGTGTAGCACTTTGGAAAATGCTTGGGAAAGGTGCTTCACCAGAGTCTGAATGTTCTGACCTAATTTAATTCTTGGAGGCCAGCCCCGAATACATCACTCAAAGCCCAAATGTGACCTCTGACCCCTAAAGAACTTGCATACTCCTGATTCAGATGCTATAATTACTACCTGAACAATCTCCCCTGCTGCTTTATCTGATTAAGCATTAGTGGTTAAGCATTTGCATCAGCTTGGTATTTTTAGTCTGTCTGCTGTAATTGCCAACTGTAATGCAGCCAACTCAGAAGCCTGTCAAATGTTTTGGGTCTGAATTATGTGATTAGACATGCGCAGAGCCAGGCAATTAATTGAATGTTACAAAGTACTTCTGTCCAAATATTTTACATATTGATGTTTACAAAATTTCCTTTCTTCCTTTTGGTTTTGAAAGATCTCCCCTGTCTCATCCTGTTTTGGAATATTTTAAATTTTATTTTTAAATGAGACAATTCTCCTTCACATGTACTTCTTGGAGAAGGATGGCAGGGTTTCATGGAGATGGACTCCATTCATGTCAGTCAAGGTGTCCCTTAACAAAGACCCTTCATGAAGACAGGAAACCACATTAAGCTGAATGGAAAGAAACCACACATGTTTTTAGTTCTGCTCCATACTGTCTTTCCAAGATAAGCCAGCCTGGGAGCACAAAAAAAGAAGCAACTGAACTGATGCTGGAAGGAGATCCAAGCAGGCAGTAATTTGGCAGGACTTTAGAGTCCTCTGATATCCAAGAGCACTGGATCACCCTGACATAAACACCACATTCACTCTTGTGCATTGGTGCAAATTAATTTTATCTGGAGTAAGAGGTAGCTTAATGGGATGGCCAACATATCTAAGGATCTGCTTGCAAGTACCATATTTGGGGTGTGGCTGAACTCCCTAAGAACTTGTGAGAGCCAGTTATCAGACTAAGAAGTCTAGTACCTATTTTCAAAAGAATTGATGGGTGCAAACTGCCCCATGTTCATTAAAGAGAGAAGCTTCCTCCTTTAGATAGAAAAAGTGTGAGAAAAAGAACCAGAAATTTTCTGCCCTAATTTGCAGAAAATTTCTCATATGCAAGTAGAGTGCTTGCCATAATTCTGGTATTGTTACTTTAAACTTCTTCTTGATAAAGTTTACTAATCAGAGCTCTGAGAGAATGGTCCTTGGAATTAACAGTTTCTAGTCTAGGCTGCTACCAGAAGCAGAGTCAGCTTAATGGTCCATCTAGCCCAGTTTTGTTCTTGCTAACTTGATAAAGCAATGTGTAATTGGAGCATTCTTATTTAATGGCAGACAAGTGTGGAAATCAAATTTATTTACGAAAGCTGTTGTCATGCATGGCTTGGGGCAAGTGGCTCAAGGAAAAATATTGATAGCAAGGTTTGCCTAATACTCTGAAATTCCCAGGAAGTCCCCCCTACAAATAAAAAGATGAAAAAGGCAAATAACCACATCATGCACATTCTTAAAATCCACAATAACTTCCACATATGGACCACTCTCCTCTTTACTGACAACTCTGTATAGTTCCATAACTTTGTATAGTTCCCAGCTCTGTATAGTAGCTGGGTCTAAAACTATTAATTATTTACCTGTGCTAAGAGCCCTGGTTGGATCTGAAGGGGCTGAGCCCCAGCAGCCTGAGTGACTATGGGAACTGCATTCTCCATCCGGACAGAATAGCCAGCATGCTTTGAAGGGGAAGTTTGCAATCCTGAGCCAAGAAAAGAATGAAAAGAAAAGGCAGTGTTAGACAAAACTTGTGTTTTAAGACCAATCACCATCAGTGGAAAGCACAGCCATGAAAGTATTTCCTTCAGTTTAGCATCCATGGTACCAAGTAAGTCTGTGCATACTTCAAATAATTTGAAAGAGGAATCTGAGAAAGAGGTGTTTCATGTGAACACAATACCTCAGGTTTCTGTACGGTTGAAAAAAACATACCTGCTTTAATAACTTGACAGATTAAAGCAAATTTAGCTCATTAAAGCAGCCACATCTTGTCTCAAGCTTGAATAGAAGACTATAAAAACAAAACACAATCTGCTTTCAGGAAGGGATGTGTCCATAGTCCCAGGCTTTCCAAAACACCTTTTCTGAATAAATTTCAAAATTTTTATAGCCCTAGCAACAAGATCCTTCTTAAAACTATTCTATAGTTGTTGGTATTATGTTCTTTGGTTTATTATATATAATTCCTCTCTCATTTGTTAATTTATTGGATATTTTCATAACAGTTTGGAGGCAAACAAGCTAAACTTTTATCAGGGGTAGAAAAAAAGAACTTGTGATTTATGGGTTTGAAGATTAGAAAGAGTAGCTTATGGAAAGAAGAGAATTACGATGCCCTGTTAGAGAGAGAGGGCAAAGTAAAAATGTATTTATAACTACCATCAAGAAGATTGGAAACCACTTCTTTATAATCTTTCTTTTTCTATTTTCTTTTTTCACTATTTACTATTCTTCTTTATTACCTTTTTCTCTTATGGTTTTTACTTTGTTCAAAATTTCTTTAATAAAAATTATTTTAAAAAAAGATAAATTCTTGATGCTCTTTTGTATCCACAAAAACTTTCAGCTGACAGTTGAAGAACTATCCATTCATCCAGACCTTTAGTTGAATATATGCTCCTTTGCTATTTTTTGTTTTATTGCTTCATTCTGTGCTCTGAAGTTTTAAGCTATGTTTTAAGCTATGTGTTTAAGATGTGGCATTTTAATGGGTTTTATTGTAAAACTGATTTAATGCATATTTTAAAAATTCGCTGTACTCCTGATTTGAAATTGTTTTGTAAATGAGAAAAAAATATGATTTTTCTGAATCATAGAAAGTGAAGTCAAACGCAGGGCTTGAATTTTAATTTGGGAATGTCCTCAACTATTAGAGTATAAGCAAGAAAAATCTGCTCAATTATACAGAACAATTATATTATTTTAAAATACACTGAGAGTCACAGGACTCATTTGTGGCCTAGATCCAGTGTCCACTTCTCTGAAGTAACATCCATGGCCTTAATGGAACTTTCGTTCAATTAAATGTGCACCGGATTTCCTAAATGAATATTAGGAATGTACTTTGAAGTTAACTTCCTAAAATATGCATGCTAAATTTAGTCAGCAATAGCATCCAAAGACAAATCCTAGCAGAATCTCTTCTTAGACCAGCCTACACCAATCTCTCATTCTCCAGGTATACAGGACTACAACTTCTTTATATCTGGCTACTGGTCATGCTTGTATGGATGGAGTTTGTAGTCTACTCTGGAGGGCTCCTGTTGTGATTGGTTACCCTAAAGGTTTGATGAGGCTGAGCTTATGGATCTTCTAGCTTCCCATTTTGACAAAGCTGAGTCTTCAACAGCTGAGATTAAAAAGGTAAGAATTAATTTGGACTCAGTCTACACACTGTGCTTATCCATAATACATTCTTTTAAATTTTGGAATAATATATTGTGTGAAAGTAGTCAACTGTGGTTTATTCAATAAACTAGGGTTAAACCATGATTGAGTGCAAAATGTCAACAACATTGTTAGAAACATGTTTCTAACGTTTATTAGTTGCCTTGCAGGTGGCCTTGGCAGTTTACAAGTAAAACTAAGGTCAAGCCAAGCGTTGTCAACATACCCTTCTCAAAGGCATTAACAGAAATTCTATCAGGGGTTTTAAAAGAGGACGTGGGTTCACATTCTAATTGAGATACAGCACTCAGGGAGGGATGGCTTAACTCTCTCCTTCTAAGCCCCAGTTCCAAAGGAAACATCCTCCTCCCTGGACTTCAAATGAAAATCACCCCCTGAGTCTTTTTCTATTTTTGGTCTTTAACCTGGATTTAGTTTTAAAAGATGCATTAAGTATCATGTGTAATTTGCTCCTGAAAAGAACAGTAACGCTGTATTTTTCCTTTGTGTATTTTGTCTGGAACAGTTGTTACCTTCCCTGAACCATTGGGCAGGAGAGGGTTAGACACTGAAATTAAGGAAACAGTTACAATAGCATTTTTCCAATTGTTCCCAGTGCAGATTGACTCTGAGCAACTGCTGAAAAAGAGACAATTGCCTCCACAGGAAGAGCCACTTGCTGCTAAAGTCCAGGGCAGAAATTAAGACTTGAGGCATCTGTCATCCTTTCAGTTGTCCTACCAGCTTTGCATCTCTCTGAGCTGAAGAAATCACTGAGGATAAAAAAAAATTGCCCCAAATAATCAAATGCCTTTTGTAGCTTTTGTAAATACTGTAAGACTCAGGGGACTTTTGAGGATTTCACTCTCGAGTTCTTTTATGTTATTTCAACACCACATAAAAAGGATAAAATGTCTACTGCACAGTGGTGCACCAAGACATCAATATCTACAAATAACTTAAATATCTTTGGATAAAAATGAGAGAGGGAGCCAGAGGGCAGTGGCTCAGGCTTCCTGGCCACTATTCAAAAATAGTGAAATAGGGTCTTATTTCCTCATTCTCCTAGCCCCAAACATCTCCAAACAGAATTTCCCAGAAAATGGGTAAAGGTCAGGTTATATGGTAACCAAGCTGAGAGTATTGATGTATTTATCCTTGCTTCATACATCATCTGTCAGGGCATTCACATACTGATGAAATAGAGAAATTTTCCAACTGAGACCATCTTGCCAAGTCAGGGTTTCCTAATTTATAGTGCAATCCATGTCTATGAAAATATAAGACATATTGTGTATTATTGAAAAACCTGTAGCTCTCCAGAGTGGCTGAACTACAATTCCCTGCAGATAGAAATAACATAGCCAACAAGAAAGGATACTAGCAGTTCTAGTTCAGCAACATCTCAAAGGTCATAGGCTATTTACTCTAGTGCAGTGTTTCTAAACCTTGGCAACTTTGAGATGTGTGGACAAGCTGGCTAGGGAATTCTGGAAGTTGAAGTCCACACATCTTATGGTTGCCAAGGTTGAGAAACACTGCTCTAATGTATAGATTTAAGCCTTGGTAGCTTAACCTTGAAACTGTTAGCTGCTGACTGGGCTCACAAGTTGCACTAACCTATAATATGATTTGTGTGATTTTGATTCAGCATGTGTATGTGGTTCTTAGCAGGAACAATAAATAAAAACTTCGCAACCATAGGATATTCCTAGTGGTCATGCCACTCCTCCTCTGTCCGAGAGTATACTGTATATGATGGGAATTTGCCCAATTCAATTTCATTACCACCCAGCAAGGATGTTAATATTATTCCCGTAGTAGCTTGTCATGGATTCCATACGCTTGAGGGACTGAGTGGGTCTAACACTACCTTCATGCATGCCTCCTTACATTCAAATGAGCCAGCATCATACACTCAATATGGTTTTTCTGAAGACATTTCAGAAACATGAGAGAGATAAGGACATGTTTCAGAATCTACAGGGCACAGGTAGAACCATGGTGACAACTGAGAGAAAATACATGCTTTCCATTGTGCCTGCCAGATTCCCTGTCCCATCTAATTGCAGGAAGAAGAAAAAGGAAGCTGGCTTGCTGTAAAGCAAAGCATTTCATTTCCACAAATGCCTCTGGGCCCTCACATAGGCATTCTTAGAAAGTCAAAATGGTGTGTATGGGCAGCACAGTAATTTTTTGGAAGGGTGCCAACTTGTCCAGGAAAAAGCCAACGCTAACTAGGGATGGTGGAGAATATCTTGGAGGGATAGAATGGTGCTAGAGATTAACCTCACTAGTTTGCCTTCTAATGAATGGGAGGCTTACAACATGCTGCCAAAAATCTAGTCAGCATCAAAAGGTTCTCTACCCCCTTATGGAAAGGGGTATGAGAGAGCAAGGCTTACTTCTGATGGTGGTGGGCTACCAGAAACAATTGTATCCTATTTTATGAATATAAGAAACATTCTGGTAGACCAAACCAAAGATTTATCATTTCTAGTTGCTCTCCTGGGTATAAGGCAGATAAGGTTCCCATCATTTACTACCTGATCATTTCAACTGGAGATGCTGGAGAGTGAATTTGGAATCTAAACTGTAGTTCCCTGACCACTGACACAGCAAGATATCCTTTCTGAGATTCTATGTTCATTCATAGAACTATGCCCTGTCAAACCTGACCCTTTATTGATGTTTTAGGGCAGGAACATGCAATTTTCTTTGGACTAAGGACTGTACCAGCTCTGAATGGCACATTGAGGGCTTCCCTGCAAAAAGCTTACAAAGTGGATGTGGGAACGAAGCTTGAATTAAATTATTGAAATATTAATAGTGTGTATTTAAGCAAAAAAAAACCCCATACCATTCTATTTAACACATACGCTTTTGTACATACAGGCAAAAAGGGAGAGACAATAAGACACAGTAGCATCCTGGGCAGTTGTTGCTGGTGGCCAATGTAATCTAAAGTAATCTGGGAGAAAACAGCTGATCCCCAAGTGGAGTACAATTTTAGGGACCTGCCAGACAGATGGATCATCCTCGCTTTAGTAATAGCAGCATTTAACACAATAAAGAAGCACTCTTACCTTGAAAACCTGGAGGACACACGATAAGGGCTTGCTGGAAGGGGTCAGGACGAGCACATATCTGCGCTGTACCTGTCTGCAGAGGGACACTCCTCTGAGCCACCGCGGCCATGGACGCTGCCGAGGGCTGGTAGAGTGCAGATTGGTAGTTTAGTATGGAGACATCAGGGTTGGCTAAGGAAATAGTGGCACTGGTGGTGGAGGTGGGAGCCAGAGTGGTGGCCTAAAGGAATTATGGGATTTAAAATAAAATAAAAACAAAATATGAAGGCGATGGTAATGTTGGGGAAAGCTAATTTTTAAAACAAAAGATAGATAAAGCACATAAATAAAACCTTAAAAGGCAGAAAACATTAAAAAAAGACAAAGAAGGGAGGAAACTAGAGATGAATAAGGATAAGAGAGTTTTACTTTACTCATTATGTACCCCATTCCTTTGCTTACGATTACCAACTGATTACAAACACAGCCACAAGTACCAAGCCTATGGCCCCTAAAGAGAGTCAAGTTGTCTACAGAGAAAGATTCAAGACTGTGCATTTGGAAAATGAATATTTCTAGATGACTCATTCTTAATAATACCCTGCACGGGCATGGCTTGATCTGTACTTGGAGGCATGGCTCACTTTGCTGAGTTGCCTGCTTCATACTCAGGTTGCTTCCTGTTTTTTGATTGTGGCACCATTGTAGCCTGGATTGTACAGATCACAAAGGTATGATATTATACGTAGATCATACTGTTTGGGGACAGGAGATCTGCATGGAAATGTAATTGGTATACCTAAGATGAGTCCAGAATTTTCTGTGGTTCTGACCCCAAATGTGTGGCTTCAGGTATCAGATTTTTATTATTTCAAGATTTTTTTTTTAATTTCAAGAAATCTTGCTCTGGGGTCAAAGCTTTATTTACGTTTCTTTAGAATTAGAATTCTAAACAACTGGAGAAATACAGTGGTTGAAAGAGTAGTTTGATGAATTATTTTCCATTTCTTCCATCTGAGGAGGTGGGATGGAAAAGGTTATCTATTAAAACATTCCCACAAGACTATTGACAATGAAACTGTTTTATGTCAGCTTCATTCTGACATTCCAATATTTTTTCTGGTATACTCTGCTTGACTGCTCTCACTTGCCTCTTCCTCATAGGGAAAGCTAATAAATAAATCCAGGTAGCTCAATTCATGATTACTAATTATATGTGAAATAGCAACTCTTTCTGGTTCCTGTCCTTAAAAGCCATAGACAGAAACCATTGTTTGTTCTTATCCATGATTGTGACTCTGGCTGAAGAAGCTTTATTTGCTTTCTCCTTGATTGCCTAGTCCTGCATTTATTTTCCTATAAATTAAATTCCTTAAATTTCCTTTAGTAATTTAAGAATGTTTTGCAATACTCTGAATTAAGGAATCTCCTGTGTTCCCTCCTCCTCTGTTTCAGAGAATACAACTCATTAAGGGTTATTTGATTTTGATTATACTGTTCAGCAACTAGAACGAAGTAGAAATGTCTTCATCACATATTTTGATCTTTTTTTTCCCATCTTTCCCTACTTTTTATTTCACAAACATGATTGCTTTTATTAATTGTTAACTTTTGCAATGCAAAAATTTGTGACACCAATGAGATTTTCTTATCCAATACTACTGTCATGAATTAAAAACATTTTTTTAACAAAAAACCTTTCAAGATAATCCAAACTCTTTGCCTTAAAAAAGAATCTATGGTCTAAAAAAATAGGGTTTTTTTAAATGCATGTCTTTTCTAATTTTCTATACTCAGTTATTTTCCTGTTGGCTGTAAGCAGCAGCATTCGCAACAAACTGCAGTGATGCCAGGATGACGCATGACCTTACAAATGACATGATTAGGTACTTCTATCCTGACATCTGATGCAAGTACATAAGTTGTAGCGTTTGCATGCTGATGCTGTCATGCACTTTTTGCCATCCTCCCCTTGCTCTTCTCTACAGATGTCCATGATAATATGATAGAAGAAGAAGCCAGCAGAACATTGAAGACTTTTGAGATTTTGCCATGTGTTGCCAATTTGCTCATAATCATGAAGGCACAATAAGAGCAGTTTTGCAGAATTTCCACCTCAGGGACCAGATGTGGCTCATGGAAAATCCCATATTGTCCTTGAGATCTTTTCTTCTTGCTCCCACCTCTTCTTCAGCTTGCATGTATGATGTTAGTATTGTGTGTATGCACATGATAGAAAGCCAGAAAAAGAGGGAAAATATATTGGGTAGCTTTGCTAATTGTGGGCTCTAGTCACAAACCTCACTGGCTACCACGATTACAATTGAGAAAATGATATTTTTGGAGGAAGATGGGTTCTCACAATGACTTAAAAGGCATTGGTCTTAGACTGGGAAGAACCAGAGTCAAATTCTTGGTCATCACAGTTTCTGAGTGATCTTGGGCCATTAGCTGAATATATCTCTAACTTCTTCTTAAGTTATGAGATTATAAATTAAAAGAAAAAGAAATATACAAGTAGTCCCCAGTTTAAGAATGAGTTCCGTTCCCAAGGTCTGTCCTTAAGTCAAATTTGTATGTAAGCCAGAACAGTATTATTGTATAATACTATATAAGTAGTACTGAGTAATTAACTAGAACCGTTGTGTATTTAACTAAAATCATTGTGTATTTAACTCAAATTTTGCTACAATGGGCTCCGTTCTTAACTATGGATCGTCCTTAAGCCAGGTCTTTTTAACCTGGGGACTGCCTGTGCTGGAAGATCTCTTCCCTTAAAAAAAAAAAAGAAGAAGTTCCAAACCCCTGAAAGCCCACCAAGTTATCCCTAGACTTCATCATAATGATTTCTCTTACCTGGTTATGAACTGTATTGAGCTGGTTATTAAAGGTCATGGTTAGATTGGTTGATGTGCTTGGGGCTACATGGGTGATGAATGGTGTCTTGCTCTGATTCACAGTGTCATACATGTTTACTCGTCGCTTGCAAATCTCCATGTTTTGGAAACAGGACTTAACACTATGTACAAAGAAGAAGAAGCAAAAGATTGGTAGTAATTTAACTGATGGGGGAAATCAGATTTGCCTTAGTAAGAGGCATGAACTCAGCCACTATGTCTTATTCTACAAACCAGGCTTAAAACAAGCCATGATTTAATGCAACTTGTAAGCCCAGCTACTGAGTGCCAAAGGAAAACTTTCTATTCACTACAAATAGAACTATATCACAAACATAAATATTATTTGTAGCCATTACTTTCCCCCAGGGACAGCTGGAATTGTAGTTTCTGTCTGGAATGATAAGAAACAGCTAGACTTCATAACATTACCATACTCATCGAAGTACAGTTCCTAGGATTCTTTGAGGGTAGCTATGGAAAATAAGTTGATATAAAATAGATACAACTACTGGTAAGAATATCTCCCAAGGCTTCAAGGGATAAATTCATCAATGTTTTTGAACAACAGTTATGCAAATACCTATGTTAGAATCACTGCTTCTTCCCCCATACAATCTCAGACTGTTGCGCAGTTTCGAGCTTTTTTATAACCTTAAAATCACCCAGCCTTGAAACAAACCTTAACAAGTTCAAATGTCTTAAAAAATGCTAGAATTATTTTTCCTTTTGTGACATGCTAATGAACAGTTTCAAAGCTGAACCTTTACAAAAACCCATTAAGTCCTGTAGTAAGGAGAAACTACAGAAATTATTTACATTTTTTGCACTGTCACTTTCGACAATCAAATATTGATATAATCCCTGCTATTTGGTCAAGTCAGATTACCATGTCTTATTTGTAGTAAGTTTTTCCAGGGTTACATTTAAAACAAAAATAATTTAAAAATTACTAAAAAAAATGGAATGCAGTCAACAGAACTACTGCAAGCAAAAATAATCATCAGTTTGGAAGACACTTTTAGAGACAACTAGTCCAACTTCCTATTCTGAGATGGAATTCCAAAGAGTTCAGTAATTCTTCACCGATACTCCTCCATTCATTTCCTAGCATAGAACTGCATGTTACTTGAAAATATCCACCCCACCACTGATGAAAATGGCAGCCATGTGTCTCATTATATTCCCACTACTCCTGGGTTGTGATCTAATATTTGAGGGTTTTTTGTTTTTTTTTTTGCATGGAGGTAGCGAGTGATGTGGAGTGAGGGCCCAATGGTGTGGTATCATAGCACAAGGCAAGGTGTATTAAATTCTATCAAGGAAACATTACTCAATTTGTGTGTACCATGTTCAACAGTTGCCCTGTGTTTCAAGTAACATGCCTCTGAGCCTTAGAAAATGCCATAGAAACGCTTCCATAACTTTCCCCCAAAATTCCCTTATAACCCTATGCCTGCTTCCAGAGCAGTGTTTCTCAACCATGGCTGCTTTAAGCTGTGTAGACCAACTCCCAGAATTCCCCAGCCATGCAT